CCATCAGGGTCAGGGGAGAGGCCTCTCGCTTGGCTGCTGGCCTCAATCCCTGATCAGGCTGGTTCGCTGGCCACAGTGGGTGTCATAGCAACTGGTTGTTAAGTTGTTATGGCTGAGAGGTGCTTCATGCCTTCCTGATGACTGGACATTTGGTCATTTTGGTCATGATGCTTTTGGCCTTTTATTATTATAAGATCTCAGAGAACTGAGATCGTTATATCCTAAAAATCTCTTCTCAAAAGACCGTGTGCACCAGGCAGGAAGTGAAGTGAACTGCTGGTGTCTTCCTCACAAGAATTTGGAGAAAGTTACATGGGCTGAGTGATGTGAACTGGGATGACATTCCCATGAGAAGCAAAGAAATACATTATTTCTGCTTTTCATTTTTGATAAAAGGTTATTTGAGCCTTTGTCTGTGTTCGCCTTTTAAGTAAAGGACAAGCAGACAACTGCATATATTGCAATAGGGCAAATTTCCGAAAAGATGCCTCATAGAAAGGCATTATGCCAGTCTAAAAGCAATGGAACTACCATATTTTCTTGCCAAATATTATCATATCATGCTAAACTTTGAAGGGGAACATAGATTTGCAGACTATAATTAGCCCTGAATTAGAATTTGATAGGATTCGGGTGTAGAGCAGCAGTATATGCTGACAACGGGTCATGGAACCCAGGGGTCTAAATCCAGTCATCCCGGTGGTGTCCCAGGCTCATATGTGAAGGTATAGGACCATGGCAGAAATCAAATCAACAACCCAGATTCTGATTAATGAACAATACTTTTATAAAATAAATTGAAGATTTAAATACTCATTTGCTCCATTCCTTCCAATGAAAGTGCTAATATTGCTTCTGAATAATAGAACTTAAGAGTGTTCATTGCCCGTACTTCTACAACTAGTTAATGGCGATGTGATTAGAGCTTGAATTTCTGTCCCAAGTGTTCTTCTTCTCTACATGGCCTTTAGGTGATACTTCAAAGCCTGGAGCATACTAGCTGTTTCACAGAGTTCTCCCTATACACACTCTTACATTCTCACCTCATCTCTGGGAAGGGTTTTCATTTTCTCAAACACACATTGCCTCACTGGAATATATATATATATATATATATATATATATATATATATATATATTCAAACATATACATATATATTAAAACATATACATATATTAAAACATATACATATATATATATTCAAACACACACACACACACACACACACACATATATATATATATATATATATATATATATATATATATATATATATATATTCAAACCAGGAAACCCTTTTTTGATGAAGAACCAATAAATTCAGGCTTTTTCTTAAAAAAAAAAAAAAGTTCCAACTTCATGAATTGAGTGACTTCATTTGATTTCCTTCCCTAAATGCTGACATTCCCTTTATGCCACTCAGCTGTGATTCCTTAAAGATTCTCTTCAGAAGAGACCACAGACAAATAGACATTAATCTGGAAATAAATGTGAAAGCAGACAAGTAAAGGAATTTTACAGTCATCTTTTGCCATTAGGGATAAGGTATTTGGGGGAATATTGAGACTTAAACATGATTTTATTATTTTTATTATACTCAAGTTCCTAAAATATGTCTATTTTGTTTAAGACAATTTCAACATTGTGTGATTTCTTCTTTCAAACACTTAAGCAAGGTTGAAAAATAAACATGGTTACCCATAACGTATAGTTATATGCAACTCAAAAAATTTCTTGAGTATCTTGCATTCTTAGTCAAAGCCTGACATATTCTCTTTTGAAGTTAATGAATGTCATATCTTATCCATGGTATTCTAAACTAAGATTAGTATCAAAAGAGAAATAATTTTTAGCTCATAATAGTGATTGAATAAAAAAAGAGTCATATCTCAATTTTATAATAATTCATCTCTACCACCACTCTTCTATTCTGTTTCCCACTGGTTATTGATGTTTTCTCTTAACAGGGCTTTCAACCATCTTCCCAGCATCCCCCTCCTCAGAAGCCTAAGCTACAGAATACCTGCTTCAAAGTAACTGTTCTAAAAGAATGTTTCTCAAATGTTAAAATTCATCAGAGTCACCTGGAGGGTTTTGACAAAACAGATTACTGAGCTCCTCTCCCGGAATTTCTGATTAATAAGTTTAAGTGGAAACTGAGTATTTTCATTTTTTACAACTTTCCAGGAGATATTAATTGGGCTGGGTCCTGAGGCAAACATTCCGGATTACTAGTCTAAACTATAAAACTGGTCATATCATCATCCCGCAAAAAAATATTTTTGTGTCTCGTCTCTCATGCTATTGCTGAGCTAACCTTGAAATCCTGGCAAGGGTTAACTAACAATGAAGTAGAAGTTTATATACTTGTGAAATTACGTATTTTTGCTTAAATGTTTTCCAGCCACCACCCAGATGACACACATTGGCCAACCACAGGAAAGCAAAATTGGTATCAGGAACAGGAGTACCAGCCAAATCATACTGCACGTTTGCGGAAAAATCCCCTGCTGCTTCCCTCAACTCAACTTCCACTTCCCTTTAGCCATATATAATTAGTTGGCTTGGCAAGAGCTATTAAGATGGGCTTTGTGACAGGAGTTCCATCTTCTCAAGTCACCGGCAATTGGATAAACCACTTTCCTTTGCACCTGCACCTGCACCTTTGTTCACAAGTTTGGCTTTTGTTGCAGCAGGCAGCCAAGTTTGGGTTTAGGTTCAGCATTCACTCATTCCTCATAATTTAAATTCCTTAACATGGTTCATATAACCCATCATCACCTGGGTATTTACTCACTCTTGTTTTATCTCACACTATCTCCTGCCTTAAGTGGTGTGTTGATAAAGATTTAAAAGATGGCTATTCACGGTGCCCTGTCAACATACAAACTTGAATCTGTATGTGTAAACATAGGCATATAAACAAACATAGGCTTATTTTATTGATATAAGCAATGTTTAGACAATTTACAACAAATGTATAATAATCTTTATTATAAATTCAATGTAACCAATTAGTTCTCAGAGAACGATTTTATTGAATTTTCACTGAATTATTTTTATCTGTAATCACATATAGTCTTTGTCACATTCTTCTTTATTTATTAATTTTTTGACAACCCTTTGCATGATTTTTTTAACACACAGGTTGGGGATAACAGGCTTTAAGCTAGACTTGGCATACAGGTTGTAGCTTGTCTATTACTTGTCTATCCAGTCAATAAACCAATCAAAACATGATTTACAATATTTGCCAATATTCCGGGTGGAAATATTTCCACCATGATGGATTTCAGGCTGTCAAAGGAATGTTACTAGACATGAAGTTGGAAAGAGATGCACTGTAACAGCCCAATAGAGTGCATATCCACCACACAATTACTGCAGAAGAAAGAAACCTGAGAACATATAAATGGACTAGAAGCCCAGTGCACAAAATTTGTGCACTCAGGTGGTTGTGCGGGGTCCCTCAGCCCAGCCTGAGCCCTCTTACAGTCCGAGAGCCTTCAGGAGATCTCTAACTCTCAGCTTAGGCCTGCTCCTTGAAGGGGGTGGGCCTAACCCAGTATTCAGACATCCTTAGCACTGCCAAGGAGGCGGGAGAGGCTCCTGTCACTGCTGCTGTGCTCACCAGCTGTGAGCCCCGCTTCTGGCTGAATGGTGTTTTTTCCCTCCCGCCCCCCCCTCGCCCCCGCTTAGGAGCCCATTGACCAGCAGGAGGCACTCCTGCATTAAGCATCTGTCCCCTGGTGGTCAGTGAGCATCATAATGACCGGTTGTTCTGCCATTTGGTTGATTTTCATATTAGCTTTTTTATTATATAGGATGGAGTGGTGAAGATATAGATATAGATGTAATATAGTAAATAATTAAAAATTAATAAATGTATGACTTTTAAAATACTCTATTTAATTCTATATAACTTAGCTTTCAACATCCATTAAAGTCTACTTGTTGGTTTACATGAGGCAGTAGCAGTTGGCTCCAACACAACTGCCTGTTTATTGTTTGAAAGCCCATCAACAATGGACTATGACAGTTATGCCCCGTGCTCTGCAATAGGTCTCTGGCCTGGTCCATCTTTCTGGCCTTGCTCATCAGACCAACCCCATACTTTGAGATTGAGCAGAGTCTCCTGCTGGAACCCTGCTCCTACCTCTCTAGTTTGAGCTAAGTGGCCTCTCCCCACAGTGCCCAGTGCTGCTCTCCACCATGGCACCAGGTCTGTGCTCTGCACCACTTCTTCCAGGTCTGCTTCTGCTTAGCAGGCTGTAAGCTTCTCCAGCTCAGGAACTCTGCTTCCATAATCTTTAATTTTATTACTTAGAGCAGAGTCTGGGATACAGTAGGGGCAGAACACATACTTTTTGAACTGAACTACTAGCAAAAATGTTTATCTCTTGACTTCCACTTTGCAGAACTTTGAGCAGCCTTCTTTGTTTTGTAGCACTGGTGTGTCATTGTGTTTCTCCTAAAGGAAGAAACAACTGTTGATGTATATTAGTAAAAAGTTTGCTTACAAATGACAGTTAAAGACAAGTGCCTACAGTGCATATTTTAGATTACTTTGGGTATTATTCATCATTCCTATTTTATTGAGGTATAATTGACATGTAACATTATGTTAGTATAATTCTTATATCTTCCATTACCCCAGCTAATTGAATTTCATTTTTTTAAAAGAATTACTTAATTAACCAGGAGACTAAATAATGATACAGGGTGCTACAAGCAGGAAAAAAAAAAGAAATCAAATACAAATGAGTCTTGCTGATTTAAAATTTCCACACAATTAGCTGATGCCTGTGGGTTACCAGCATTATTTCCTGGGCATTTTCCCAGCTCACTGCTCAGACTCTCTCCAAGGACTCCTCACTGCAGGCTGCCTGGGCTCCGATGGAGGGGAAGATAAGCCCCAGCGTGCACTTCTTCTCTATTGCTCTTCTCTTCACAGATTCTAAGCAAGGCATCTGGGCATCTGGAGGGAGGATCGACTTACCTCATAGTCGATGTCTAAGGCATCGGCCTCCCCCTTGGTTCGGAAGTGCTGCGTGTACTTGTCCACGGTGAAGTTCACATGCTTGCCCACCCGCTCGATGAGGACTGAGTGCCAGTGCTGGTCATCCAGGAGGCTGCCCAGGGTGGCTGATGGGGGGCTGCTGCTGAGCCGGGTTTTGCTGTCATCTGTGAAGGGAAAGGAAGACAGGATGGCATCTGTGCCCTAGGGCAGCCTGAGACTAGAGTACTGCCAGCAGGGCCAGCTCTCTTTAAAGGCAAAGGTGGTTCTAGCTCTACAGGCCCAGAATGCTGCTGAGCTTGGGAAGGAATGATAAGCTTTCCCCACAAATGCCAGGAACACATTCTAGGTCGATTGGCATGCCTATCTCCTGCTAGACATGAAATGACATGTTTTCAGGACTTGGACAATTAAATAATAAAGGAACTCTATCCTAATGGCCTCATGAATAAAACCAAAAATAGCTGGTTATCCTATTTATAAATAGTATTTGTTCTCCATGTGTGAATGGGTTTTGAATAGAGAAAGTGGACCTTCCATTGTGCTTCAGCAGGTAGTGAGCTGGATAAGTTCGCAGTGAGCTTGGTAAGTCTGTGGGCAAAGCCAAAAGGGAGGAAACAATCATTTTAGCTGCCATTGTAAGTGCCTACTGTATCAGTGGCACTTAACCGGTCAACTGCCACGTGTACAAAATGGAAATCATCCCCACACACCACGATGTTTTGAAATTATTTGCATCTATAGCTGCTTATGCCTTTCAACGGATTAAGTAGGAATTTTACCCCTCCATTTTTAATCTGCTAAGTCAAAAGTTTTACTGAATTTCACACACAAAAAAACAAATCTACAACTCAGTGAGGCAAGCACACACACCACAGAGATGTGTCCCGGGGTGCAATCCAGGTCCAGTGGCCTTTCCACTCTACTGTGCCATGGTCAGATGTGCTGATTAGCCCAAGGTGAGCTTGTAAGACAGGCTTATGGGAAAGGCGTGCTTTTTTTTTCTTTTTTAAACAATGGGTTTTAATGGCACCAAAGATATGGCTCCAATTACGTAGAGCAACACTAAAAAACCCAGAGGTGGTACGGAGTTGGAGCATTACAAAATAACAACAGTCACACTGAGTGCAGAAGGGAAGTCGTCCCAGGACCTCAGGGTACAGGCTCGGGCCTCTTCCTGCATCCTGGTCCTCCCTGTGCTCACCGCTGGAGCCCATTTACCAGAGTCAAAGCCACCTCTGTACAAGTTTAACCAAGTCAGTCTGGTTCCTCCTCCTCTCCATTTTATTGGATGTTCCTGCCTATATGCTATTGTAAAAAAAGATTGGTTTTTCATCTACAGAACGGTTCAGACATAGCAAAATGAACGCATAAATGCAACTAATTATTACTTATATATGTACTTTCAGGTGTTGGTTGTGTTTTTTTGAATAGTTTATATATTTGGTTCCCTTAGTAACTGAAAGCTGAACGCCTCCTTTCTCTCTCTTTGCTGTGTTTTACCAGAGCAGCTGTAACAGCTTGCTCACTGTGGCATTCCCGACAGGAAGCAGCATTTTCCTGGAGGCGTTCACTTCACCTCCATAAAGGCTTGCATCACTACTTCCTGTAGGGGTAGGATGGCACACTTACTATAATTGAAAATGAGAGCCAGTGATTTTATTTCATTGATTTATTCATTGTTTCACAGATGTGAACTCTCACAGTTTGTCAAATTATAATAATAAACTCATAGATATTTGCCTTATTTTTCCCACTCATTTCCTTCCTTCCTTGTTTCCTTCCTTGCTTCCTCTTTCCCTCCCTCCCTCCCTTTCTTCTTTCCTTCCTTCCTCCTCCCTTCCTCCCTTCCTCCCTCCCTCTCTCCCTCCTTCCTTCCTTCCTTCCTTCCTTCCTTCCTTCCTTCCTTCCTTCCTTCCTTCCTTCCTTCCTTCCTTCCTTCCTTCCTTCTTCCTTCTATAGAGGTATTGAGATATACCCATGCTACTCATAGTGACAAGTGATGTATAAAGGAGATGAAGGAGATACAGAGCTATAAGGCGAACTGCTTCTGTGGAGGTCTACTGTGGAGATTTTTCAATAAGTAAAGCATATAAGTATGCCATTGGTACATGGCAATCAGTGCAGGGAGCCAAGGTAACTCCTGGCCAGGGCCTGTGAAGGCCTCTTTATGGGGTGGTGACAGGCCTGAGATTTGTTTGGTCAAAACAAGGAGCTTGGTACACAGACAGGAGAAGCAGGTGTCTCAGCCTGGAGGGATGGTTTGGGAGGAGGTAGAGGGATTCCATGTGGCCTAGGGTCCTGACCCCAGTTCTGGTTTATCTCATTCAGGACGACTGTGCTGGTGGGTGGGAGTTTACAACTTGAATTGTACCTTTAAGGGATGGGAGCCATAGGTGAAATCACAGACTCTAACTCTGATTAACATTTAGCAAACGTCATTTTGGCTGCGCTATGCAATTTTCTTACAGGACAGACTGGCAGTAATATTTGGGAAAAATTTAGTTGGGGACAAGGGCTTAGGGATAGAGAGCACAGGAAGGATGGAATGGTCTCCCAAGTCACTTGGGTATTGAAAATGGGGTAATAATGGAAAGACTCAGATGTGTTCTAGGATTTTTGAGAAGGTGAATGAGAAGTTATTTCATGAGAAGTCATGAAATAAGAAAGAACAAAGACAACCCTCCTATCTACATACACACACACACATACACACACACACACACACAAATACACACACACACACATGCATGGACACATACCCCTTTTATTTTAAAATATACCTTATCCAGCCGGGACGGGTTTGGCTCAATGGATAGAGCATCGGCTTGGGGACTGAAAGGGCCCGGGTTCGATTCCGGTCAAGGGCATGTACCTTAGTTGCGGGCATATCCCCAGTGGGGGGTGTGCAAGAGGCAGCTGGTCAATGACTCTCTCTTATCGATGTTTCTAGCTCTCTATCTCTCTCCCTTCCTCTCTCTATAAAATCAATAAAATATATTAAAAAATATACCCTATCCAAGTGTTAATGATTGGTCAAGAGCAACAACAATAAAAAAATACATGATCATCTCAATAATAAAGAAAAAATTCAACATTCCTTAAAAAAAAAAATATATATATATATATATATATATTATTGATTTTTTTTTACAGAGAAGAAGGGAGAGGGATAGAGAGCCAGAAACATCAATGAGAGAGAAACATCAATCAGCTGCCTCCTATACACCCCCTACTGGGGATGTGCCTGCAACCAATGTACATGCCCTTGACCAGAATCAAACCTGGTATCCTTCAGTCCGCAGACCAATGCTCTATCCATTGACTCAAACCAGTTTCAGCTCAACATTGATTCTTGATAACTATCAGCAAACTAGAAATAAAAGAGGACTTGCAGACCCTGGCCAGTTTGACTCAGTGGAGAGTGTCAGCCTTAAGACTTAAGGATTCTGGTCAAGGACATGTACCTTGGTTGCAGGCACATCCTCAGTAGGGGGTGTTCAAGAGGCAGCTGATTGATGTTTCTCTCTCATCAATGTTTCTGGCTCTCTATCCCTCTCCCTTTCTTTCTGTAAAAATTCAATAAAATATATTTTTAAAAAAGAGAACTTGCAGAACCTGATAAAGGTAATCAACAAAAACCTATAGCTTGCATCATACTTAATGTGGAAAAAAATGAATTTTTCCCTGCTTAGGCTAGGGGCAAGTTAAAGACATATGCTCTTGCCATTTATCTCCACCTTTACTACAAGTTTTAATCAGGCAATCAGATAAAAAAGAAATAATACAAAAGAGACAATAAAGAAAAGAGCAGAACTGAGGGAAACCTAAGGAATCTATTAAAAAAGCTGGAATTAATCAGTGGAGATACAGTAGGGATAGGTGTATGCAGCTGCTGGAAGGAGAGGCATATTGACTGGCATGACAATTTTCTGGGAATGTACATATGTGAACATAAAACTGTGCAACTTAAATGTTTGCATTTTTTAAAATGTCCATTAAACATCAATAAAAAATAATTTGCAATAAGTAGAAGAAATTATTTAGAAAAAAGACCTAATAATTGGTTGAGAGAGTTTGTCTTATATAACTGTTGGTTCTAGATAATAAATAAAGTTAATATTAGAGCTTTCACTTTGAATTCAATATGTAACTCAGTTTTGTTTGTTTTTTATTAAAAGGAAAACCGACATTTAATAATGATTTCCTAATAAGTTCAAAACAAAGATTTGAAGCAACTCTAAATCACAACAGCAATAGAATGGCACAGTAATCACATAATTTCAATACACTTATTCTATGTGCTGTTTGGTAGGTGTTAGTGATACACTGAGTTCTTTAATAGAGCTGAAAATAACATTTAATGTAAAATATTTTAACATATTTTACAATATGATTCCTGCTTCAAAAGACAAATTTAATTATGAATATTAATAATACTTTTATTTAAGTTCTTAAATATAGTAACAAATCTTCCTCCCATCCCTGCCTCCAGCTGTGCATGTAGGTCATCACTGATATGAATGTCTTATTTTTCATCAGGAAAAAATTATAGGCGAAAAGCAAGTCAGCAAAAATATTTATTCTTTATTCCCCTCATTAAATATTTTACCCTAATGATGACATGCAATGCACATTTTTTTGTATTGTTTTATTTTCATTTCATCTTTCCTAGTATTTTTTTATATCAGTACTAGAGGCCCAGTGCACGAATTTGTGCATGGGTGGGGTCCAGCCAGGCCCAATTTGGATGAATTGAGATGGTAGGAGGTTGGCAGGCTGGCCTGCTCTGATCAGGGCCCATCAGGGCCAGGCCAGCTGAAGCAAGGGGCCTTGGGCGATTGGCCAGTGGCTCTGTCCCCTATTAGGGTTGGAGGGCCAAATGGGGGTGGGTCTGGCCATGGGGAGGGGCTGTGGGTGGTTGGCAGCTGGCCTTAAACCTGTTGGGATGGGGGAGCAGATCTGGAGTGGGGCACTGAGGGGGAGGGGTTGAAGGAGGTTGGTGGGCTGGCCACACTCTCTATTGGGGTGGGGGGGGGTGAGCTGGCCAGGGGGAGGAGCTTATCTTGGTGGGGCTGGCTGATCGGGGGCGGGGCTGGTTGGGGGAAAGGAAGGGGCATTTGGTCAGAAGCCTGCTCTTGATCAGGGTGGAAAAGTCCAATCAGGG